AATCTCGGCTCGACCGAGGCGATACTTGATTTGCAATCGATTTTTCCGGGTGCCGCTGCCCCGCTATCACAAGGGACGCTGGAGCCACGGATGGCATGGTGAGGGAAGGTGCACTGGGTGCGGAAGGGCTCAGGAGATTGATGGACTGCAGAGGGCGTAGGTGGTGGGTGCGATAGGTGGCAGTGCATGAGCACATTTTTTGGGTCTAGGATTCGAGCAGAGGACAAATTTGGGTTGCCAAGGCCACGTAAGGGGGAGGAGAGCGGGTGATGGCTGGGAAGGAGGAAAGCGAGAAAAAGTAAACGTGAGATAAGCAAACGAAAAAGCGATATTAGTAGGGGACTCCCCCATGTATGAAGCTGATGCTTAGGTAAAGTTAAAGGCGAAGATGAAGCTGATGCTTAGGTAAGGCTGAGAGTTCTCAGTTATAGCTAAGCATTGGTTTCCTTACTAGCGCCCTTGTTCCTCTTCCCCATCCTGTCGCAAATCCGAGCCCACGGTGCTACGTCTGGGTGCTACATCCCACCATTACCTCCTCCCCCTCAGTCGTGTCAATCCCCACCTAGCACCCCCAACAACAGGTTTCAGCCATGGCGCGCTGGGTGACATTACCCAGCACTCCAGGCAACGTGTCGAGCGAGATCGGCGAGACTTGTCGTGAAATAGCATCATCGGAGATGCTTGAATGCCGTCCGAGCCGAGTGGGTTTTAGTAATTGTCGAGGAATTGCCCCAAATGAGACTGATTTAACGGATGCTCGTTTAGGCCACCGGGGATCAACAGCCGGAACTGAAGGAATTGCGTGGTGATTTGACATCGTGCTTTGAGAAGATATCGTGCTTTTTAATGCCATTTCCTGTCGAGGCTGTTGCTTCTGGTAAAGAATTTCAAAAAGCGCATGGTGATGCGAAACAGACAACGACTTCAAACGGTAAATTAGAGGGTTGCGTAAAATTTGGCTAGCGATGCAAAAAAAAAGAGTAGAGGATTCGCTGGGCATGAAGCTTAAGTTGTGGTGGGATAGGAAAGGGTTTTAAGAGCTAGTACGCTATAAAGGTTGTCGAAAGAGAGTAGCTTTCAGAAGGGGGTAAGCATAGTTGCAAGCTCAAAATGCAGTTGTATCGCGGTCACATCCAGTGAATCAACGGGATGCTATACTTTGGGCAGGTTTGCTCAAGCTTTCAGTCCTGACTTTCACCGAGAAAATCTTCTGCGTATAAATGGTTGTCGTTCCTTTGCCATCTTTTCTTTAACAGGGTTTTGAGGGAACTTAAAAAGATTATGAGGAGATTGTGTTTCAGTTAAGGTAGAGTTTCTGAATCAGCTCCGTTCCCTTGTGGAAAAGCTGTTAAATCCACGCAATGTTGTGGTCAAGCAAATCAGCGGCCGAGAGAAGACATGCCGTGAACTTGTGGATTACTTCAAAGTCAGTTTTTTTTTTGTAAATGTAGTAAAATGAACAAGCAGAACACTCCTATTAACTTAAAAACCTAATGACGGTGCGGTTCAAGGGTGATTTTTTCATTTCTGATTTATATGGTTAGTGTGGTTTTTCTGATTCGTATGAACGCTGAAACATTACGCTCAAACACAATAAGCAACTTCATGTATGCGGCTTTACACGTGTATGTTTACTCCCAGAACGGCGTTGACATCTACATCTAACAGGCGAGCATACTGGCGCATGACCACTCTGTTTTGGTTGATTTGCGAAAACGCTAAAAAAGTACTTTTGATGATGAGGGCATTTGTTTTCGGGTGGAC